CCGGAAATTGTCAAACCTCTCTTGGACTGCTTTGACCTTTCTTCTTTTCATAAAATTATAGAGCTACCACTGATTCAATATAATTGAAAAAATTGAAAAGCAAATGCTTGAGGGAAAATATTAAATTGGTGGTGATAAGGTATGCAAGATGACATGGGATCTTACACTAAATTTTGATTGTGGTTCCTGAAAAAATGTGTTTGAACTATATATTCTGTCTCTTATACACATCTAGATGTGTATAAGAGACAGGCTTAAAAATGATGCTGGTTTCCACATTGAAGAGTTATTCAGTACACATTGTTAACAAATTATATACTGTTAGTGAATTTAGTACAATGTAGCCATTTGTATAATTGACTAAAATTGATAAATGAACCTCTTTTTTGATATGTTGTAATTTTGGGAGAACAGTTGACAAAAGCTGTAATTGCTTCTGTTGTAGAATTTGAATCATCTGCAGCTTCACTGCTATGTAACAGCACATTTGCAACAGTAATTAGCAAACAAACTCATTGTTATTCCTGCTGAAGTGAATATTAAACAACAGTGCAGGACCATTCAGAGAATTAATCCGCATTTACATGGATTACGCTAGCACGTAATATGGATTTGAAAACGGTTAGAATATGTAGTCTTTGTTGGTTTTAATGATCACACTTGCACTACTTTTTCTATTCTGAAAAATATATAATGATGAGGTTGTGCTTTGATCATGTTAAGTGTTTTACTAAATTTAGAATTTTATTTCTAGAACTTTCACTTTCTTATACAGTACAGCTTTAGTTGTGATAAGTTTTAATAATGTTAATATTGTGTCAGTCTTTAAGCCCTGGCCAGACTATCAAATTTTATTTGACAAACACATGTGACATGCCTAAATATGGTCATGATGACATCATACCATGACCATATATAGGTAATATCATTATATACTGTACTATATATCGGCATACAACATTTCATAATCCGGACATTATAGCATATCATGCCAACATGGCCTCTGTACTTCAAATGATTACCTTGTCATTGGATCAGACACTCATTGAACACACGCAGTACTCACCTCCCTGGTAGAGAATCTTGAGCATATGGCTATTAATTAGACAACCCTAATTAAAGAGATAGCTTAAAGGTACAAGCAAAATATGTAGCAGCAGGCTGCTCGAACCTTCAAATTATTGTTGGGATACAATCGTGAGAAATAAATTCGCCATTAAAATGTTGTATGGTCTCTAACCATGTGCTCTAGCAAAAAAAAATGAAGTGAGCCCCACAGCGTAACTGGGGTACTAATTCTTAACAATGCTTGAAATATCGGCACGGCCCTTAGATTTATTCCAAGCAAAGTTATTAACATCAGTCAAATATCGAAAAATGCTCCCTCCTATTCGTAATACATCTAGAGTTCTCAGAAACAGTTCCACAAATAAACTTGAATTTAGTAGACCTTTGCCCAAAACAGAACGTTTCCAAAAATCACCCATCCCTACATTAGTGCAATTAATTAACAATGAATTAGATGCGTAGGCTGGAATTAATCCTTCGACTGTTGAATTGTGATTTCCTTTTCTTTTATCTGTTGAGATACTTTGTTCCTTTATTTCTATAATAATGATGGTAATATTGTAGTAGTAATGGTGGTATGATGGTAAGAGTAATAATTATGGTGATTATTGTTGTTATTATTATTGTTGTTGTTATTATTATCGTTGTTATTATTATTATTATTGTTATTATTATTATTATTATTATTATATATACATTTATACAATTTTGCTGATGATATTTTAATCTCTTGCTTATCTTGTTTGTTTTATCTTTTGATGTTTGTAAGCTCAACATTTTCAGCTGCCTGGCTGCTTGTTGTGCAATTTTATACCATAATAAATAAATAAAATAAATAAATAAATTAAAGTCATGCGTAGCTCGTTAAAGAAGATTATAAGTCATACTTCAGGTAATATTGTGAAATTGTAATTAAAATACAATCAAGTAATTACTTGTAATTATAGCATGATTATTAATGGACCACAATGGTAAAGAAAGGGAATGAAGATATTGTATATGCTACGCCTACTATAATACCATACCAGATACGGTAGTCAAAGAAATGTACATACAGTATTTAAAACTAATTTAAAATTAGAAATTCCTCTGGTTATGACAGCATGACGTGTTGAGATGGATTATAAGTTTATTATGTTCTAATGAAATCAGTTAATCATGGTCAGGGGTACAGATACTGAATGGGTATTTTTATATTAGGAAATACTGTCCTCCCTCCACCTTTCGGCCGAAAGAAAGATTACTATTTGGTCTAGGCCCGTTGCCACCTGGCCTGTTGCCACCCGGCCTTTTGCCACTCAGCCTATTGGCACCCGGCCCGTTGCCACCCTAGGCCTGTTTCCACCTAGCCTTTTGCCACCCGGCCCATTGCCACCTAGACCCGTTGCCACCCTAGGCCCGCTGCCACACAGCCTTTTGCCACCCTAGGCCCATTACCACCTGGCCTTTTGCCACCCAGCCTGTTGCCACACACAATGGTACAGTATAGCATTTTATTCTCAGAAATTTCACTCTCGGCATTTTTTCCAACAATATGTACACGGAAGGCAGAAGGCCGTGTGGCAAAAGTCTCTGTGGCAAAGGGCCAGGGTGGCAATGGACCGGAACCCGCCCCTGCCTGCATTTTTATGCTATTTTCAACCATTTTAAACTCATTATTCATTAATACATTTTTTTGAACTTTTTTTTTTTAAATTGGTACTACTACTAGTATGTTTTGTGTTTACTGTAGGTCTTTGTGTGTTTAGTATCTTCAGTAAATTTGTATCAATTTAGGAACCTAGAAATACAAAGTGGTTTTATGAATTTGAGGTGAAAAGGACAAAATGACATGCTTAATATAGGCTAGGTTTCAACTTGCATGAGTAATTTAGATTGCTACTCTGTTATAAACTGAATTTCATGGGCAAAAATGACACATCTCTAATCAACTATACAGTTCTTTATTAGTTTCAGTATGTACAAAAACGAATGTTTCGGTGCAAACTGAAAGAATATATTTTCATGACGTAATAGATAATCTTCGCTGAATGAAAATTATCCCAAAGAGAATGATTCACAGTAATTTGTTGGTAGATAATACCCAGTTTGTCTGCCCTCACAGGGTCAAAACATTAAAAGTTGTTTGTGACCGACCCGGGCCTACTTACTCTTACCTCTCTCATTGCCGCATTTTGCACAGCAAATAAGACAAAAATTAAAGTGATGTTATAGCAGTGCAGTGTAGAGTACTATTTTAATTGAATACTGTAGAACCATAAACTGAATCCCACATGACTTGTAATCAATAAACATAATGGAAAGCATCGAAATAGGTATTGTAAACAATGTTTTAGATCAGGATCTAGATAGAACTCTGCATTTATTTTGAAAAAAAAAAATAAAATGTATTTGAAAAAGTGGGGGTCTGGTAGAAAGGTACTGGTGCCTTTGGTGTTGCATGGATACAGTACCTGCCTTCCCGTCTTAAAATCATTAATTCTACATTCGCAAATGCCAAATAATAATAATAATAATTAAGCTTGCGGTACATCACGTAGTTCTGAAAAGAAATGTTGTAGTTGAGAAAGTCTCGACGTTTTTAAATTTATGTTGTTATATTTACAGCACATAATAATGCTGGAGCTTCTTTCTTAAATTCAAACAGCTAGTTAGTTATTTATGTTGCAGAATTTCTTCTTAAAAGAACAATACTATTTTGTTTTTGAAAAGAACATAGGATGGAAATATATAATTGTAAAGCTAAAAATAGAAATAAGTGGTATTAGTATGATGCCAAATAACATATAATTTCAGCCTCGATGATTAGATACAAAACAATCATGGCTAAATGTGCAATTGTTAAGCTCCTGCAGGAGTATGCCTGGCGATGTTGCATGTAATCAGCATTTTGCATTCAAACGTTCATGGACGACTTAAGAATTACAGATGGCAGTAGTAAGATCAATTGTAGCTAAGGGCAACAGTGTGATAAGGTGTTGAACTTTTGAAATGTTGAAGTGCGTTGTACAAAATTGTTTGGGATAAATTAAGATGATGTAAGCATTATATTGATTGATTCTCATCATCCACTATCATATCAAATAATCACTTCATCAAATCATCGTCAACATATCACTGCATCACTTTGCCATGTTATCCTTATCATAGAATCACCTTGAGCATTGTCTTTGATGTGGAGATGATCGCTGGCGCCATCACTGTCACAACATCATGTCATGCTCATCATCAGAATCTTATCACATAACCATCATCAGCACAGAAATCATTATCGTAACATCCTATCATCACAATTACCTTCATTGTCATATGGTATTGCCCATCTTAGAGCTGAGTGGTTGGCCGAGAGGTTTTGGTTCCTGCTTCTTGTGGTAAAGACCCTGGTTCAAACCCGGCCCAGCGTCAGGTTTGAATTGGAGTCTGATCGCTCGTCTCCTTGAGATAAAGGCAGCCTAAGAACTAATGTGTATTTGTATATCTGTTACATTTCAAGTCAGGTGGCGCTGCACTGCAGCTGCCGCAGGTTGCCAGGGTCCCAGCCCAAGTTTCTGAATTCGACTTTTAATGAGGACAAATAAAACATTATTATTATCATTACCATTCATCATCATCATCTTCATCCATCATTATTATGTCATCATCTCATCTTTATCTCACCATTATTTTCTGCAAATCTTTACCATCGTCGTCTGATCTCAATGTATTTCATCGTTTCATCATTATCATCATCCTCGTCATTATGATTACAGAAAGGTTATCTGAATCATCATCCCACCTGCATTCATCTATCCCATCCGTGGAAGTAAATTTACTTTAGTTTCGTTTACTACTTCCAATGCTGAGCCTCCATGCTCTAACTTCCATCAGGCTAGTATAGTTAGTTTTTCTTAACAAGTTTCCAGATTGGAATAATAATATTCTTTGTTTTTTAGAAATGGAGAGAACGTAGAAGGTGCTACTCATAAGCATGTTGTGGACTTAATCAAACAAGGAGGATCATCATTAACTTTAACAATCATCTCGGTTCCAAATTTACGAGAAGATAGGGGGGAACCGAGTGACGATTCATCAGGATATTCAAACTATGATTATAGTGAGAAAAGACAGGTTTCAGTTACTATCCCAGACTATAGGCAAGATATTAAAAATGGAGATAAATTTGTGGTATGTTGAAAACATTATAAATTAATTTGTTAATGTTATAAATTTATAAATGGTAATAATGATAGTGATGATGTTTATGATGGTGATAGCGGGGATGGCAGCGATAATGGGGATGAGAAAATGCAGAGGACAACAAAAACAATGATGGTGAAATGATTATAAAATGATCATCACGATCATGGCAATAACAAAAAAATGCTGATGAAGAAGATAGTGGTGTTGGTGGTGGCAGTTGCTATGGTGGTAATAATATTCTGTAATCTAAATCCTATATTCGAGCAATGAAACTTAAGATTTGTATTTTTTTTTGTTTTTTTTGGCAGGTTTATGATATTTACAATGCTGGTATTTTGGTGGGCTCTCACCGATTTAGTGAATTTGCAGCGTTGCATGCCAATCTGAAAAGAGAATTTGTTGATTATCAGTTTCCAAAATTTCCAAGTAAATGGCCTTTCTCACTTTCAGAGAAACAATTAGACACAAGGAGAAGAGAACTACAACAGTATTTAGAAAAAGGTTTGTCACATATTTCATTTTTTATGGTATTCATCACATGCATATTCGAAATCTCGGAGTAACTTAAATGTATGTATGTTTTTAGGAAGAAATAATTTTTATAAGAAATGTTTTAAGTATAGAAAATTTACATTTTTAAAATTTAATACCATATTTATTTGAACAAATGCCCTGGGGCATTTATGTTGAGGGGTTCTTTTGAGAAGGAGTTTATTCGAGTGATGCATTTTTTTTTTTGTGTAAAATGGATACATATATTCAGTCAAACTCGCCCAGGTCGAAAAATTGTCAACGTCGAAATTATTTTCATGTCAACTTCATCTTCCCTATATCTACAATGGTTAATATTTTCTCTAACTCGAATAAATTTAAGTCGAATAAAAACAAAAGTCGAACATATTTTAAATGCCAAATTGATCTGTTTTCCATTAATTGTTAGTCCGTAAGTCAAAGTCAAAACCATGACGTAAAACTTCAATCAATCGAAGTCAAAATCTTTACGTAAAACTTCAATCATTTTAAGCTGTCACCGCTTTACCAACATATCTGTTAACGTCAACAAGTGACTCATACATTTCCAATGCAGAAATTCACACGCTAAGTAAGCCCGACAAGTGACTCGTGTTTACATTGCATAGCGGTACTTTGTGTAGTTTGCGTGTTAATTTGTTCGGGTCTTCCTAAGGCCTAACTCTCCAAGTCAAGTTGCTATTTTGATATAACTCAAATAAAATTCGACTTTACTTTAGTTGAATTTAATCTAAGTCGAACTATATTTCAGTGGCACTATATTTCAGTGGCACTTTAGATTCGACTTAGGCGAGTTTGACTGTATACTCAAATAAACGCCCCTTACTGTAAATGTGGAACTACAACACATAATTACAAGGAAAAGTACTGCTTCGGGGCATTTATTCGAGGGAGGCGTTTATTCCAAATGAGGCTCTAGAGGGGAGTTTATTCGAGGGGAGCGTTTATCCAAAGCGGGGTGTATATTCGAAAAAATATGGTAATAAATAATAACTTTTAATGAGCTTGATATTTATAAGCCATTACAATTTATGCAGATACCCAATGGCTGTGGTTGCCTTAAGATATTTTGTATCCATATACTAAATTGCTACTATTATTACATCTGAGAATAAATGATGATCATGAGGATGACATAAGGTATGCCTTACCTACTGTACACAGCAGGCAAATTTCAACATTAATTTAAAAGGTAGATTGGTAGTCTCTGGTGTAGGGTGTTTATACAACATAATTAAAGGCAGTGTATGCTGGCTTTTTAGAATAAGCTAAAGTATAAATATTAAGCATTTATCAATATAAATATTGCTGATCTGTTTACAACACAGCATTGCATTCTTTGCAACCATTATGATAAAAATTTGAGGGCCTAAAAGGCAACCACTGTTATTACTATTTTTAGCTTGCATACTTTCATTTTTTTTTTCAATAACTTTTTTTTCATTTTCTCTTTGCCTAGATGATTTCAACAATTTCTGAATGAGAAAACACATTTTTTTTGTGCCATTCTGTGATGATATTTCAAAAATTGCTAAAGAGTTGTAAAACAATTCTCATTTTAGAATGTAGTTGCTTTAATATTTTAGTTTTTGAGTTTGATCCTCAACAGATGTTTAAAGTGAAGTGCTGTAGTGCCGGCTAAACCTCTGTTGTAGGCAAGATGCCATGTTCCTATTTTAATAGAATCCAACTGGCATCCGTTTAACCTTCTAAACTCATGCACATGTAGGCATAATTATAATACATAAGTAAAACTGCAACATGTCTCAACAAATTGCTTGTTCATACCCTCTGGCTGAAAATGTCATACACTTCTCTTAATAGAGCACAACTAAGAATATCTCGGTTGAAAGATCATTCTTCTACTGCTGCAACCGAATTCTAGAATTTTCCAAATTGTTTGGTTTTTTTTTTCTGTTCTTTTCATCCCTTTGAATATTTTTGTTTCCTCTTGCTATATCGTGCGTAGGTTTGACAGGATGTGTTCATCTTTGTAAACACTGGTGCCTTAATAAATGTCCGCTTTCATTGTAATACAGCCTTTGGTTAATGGCACAATAGTTTGGGTGCTCTGCATGATAATTGTAATGCTTTGTTCATGTTAGGTTTAATATTTCTTGAACTTGTAATTTTATGTTAGGTTTGTGGCAGTGTCATATGTTGATGTTAACATGATTTTTTGGTTAAGGCCCAATTTCAATCTCTTGTGCATGGTGAAGTTATAAACATCATCAATTTTAAATCCTGTGGATTTAAGGTTCTGTTTATCTAGATGTGACATCATTGGTATTTTTTCATGCAAAAGCTATCATTTGATTATTTTGATCATGTGATCCCAAATGAATCAGCTAAATTTCTTATTTTGATTCATAATATTTTTTCTTAAACTTGCAAATTTCCTGGCGATTGTGGTTCCATGTTTTTCTTAAATGTACTCCTAATTGAGGTAGCATAACTGCTCGTGGAGGTGGCTACCACTAAATCCCAGTATTTTACGTTTTTATGGAGCATCTGTTGTACACTGCAGCATAGGAAAGTAATACTGATATATAATGTAAGACTTCACTGGATTCTTTAAGTCAAATTATATGTTTTTTTAGCTTCTTCAAGTTTTTTGTTTTTTTTTAATTTATTGTACAGGAGTGCATGGATGTGCCATGGTGCAATGCACTATAGTAACTTGGATAAAGATGATAAACTACATGAACTATAATAATACAATAGTACAATGCACTATAAAATTAATGCCATTACTGTTATTGTTATTTTTTTTCTTTCAGTTTGCTCAATAAGAATAATATCAGAGTCAGAATACATTCAAGATTTTCTGAAGTCTAGTGAAAAGAAAATTGATGAGGTATGTAAATAATTTACTTTTTATTCCAAGTTTGTTTATCAATTAGTAAGTAGACAGGAGTTTATTGATTAACAATAAAATAGGACCCCAACTTTGGATGACATCCCTTCCGGGAAATCTTGTTGAATTAGGTTTCGTAAAATATTTAATTTTATTTTTCTTAGAATTTTCATACCCATCGGAACTGACTTCCATGAAACAGTTGATAATTAATGTAGTAAAAACATGCAAATATTATGAATTTGTGGGAGATGAGTTATTTTCATGGAGATTTTTGCTTGCGGGAAGCCATCCCAATTTTTGGGAGAATCCCGCGACTTCCGGGTACAGTGAACTTTTTGAGGTAACTCAATCTTTCCATAAGTCGCTAGAAGAAGTTCACCGATGAAAGCTTGTAATATTTCTATTAAAAGATTGTTTAGTCTGTACATCATCATCAATATTGCTGTATATTTACACTAACCACAGCCATCCAATTATTTCCTTAGGTTTGATTAATTAATACACGCACTTCTATTTTTTCCTTATCGTGCCTGTGCTTCAGTTATTGTTCATAAGAAAGCAATTAACACGATTCCATCTAATAAAGCAGTAATATATTCAGTTTTTACTGAGTCAAAGTTTAAAACCAAAAGAAATTTCTGTGATATAATTTTATTGTTATGATTAGCTTTCTCCATAGGTAATTGCCTAATAAATTATTACCACACTAGTGGTAAGTTTATTCTAGCATGGTGCTATAAAAAGAAGCTACTGAAGTACACTTCCTACCTAAATATAGAACATAAATAGAATAAAGTAAAACAATTCACATTTTATCCAATTAAAACAGTAGTTGTAATAGGGAGGAGGCTAAGCGCTCATCTTAAGATTCCTGAGTTGAAGTCCTGTAAAATAATAGGATTTGTATCACAAATGTTCGGCAGCTAACGTTTAGCAGGATCTGGATTCTTGCTAACCGGTAGCTGCTGTGCATTCATATAAGACAGTCCTTGCTCCAAATACCAAGAAGATGATAATCGAATAACTGGCCAATAGGAAACTGGAAATTGGAAACGCGTATGTCTGGTTAGTTGATGATAGAAATGTGCTAACCGGTAGCGCTCACTAACCGTTAGCGAATCCGGATCCTGGTAACGGTTAGTGCCCAATCCAGAGTCTAGGGCTCTTGTGTGAACCTGACCATAAACTCCACTCTCAAAGCCTAATGGTGGGACTAAAGCCGGGCCCTTACTGCACCTGATGATCATCAGCAAGTGCCATTGTATGGAGGAATCACAACACCACAAAGCACGCAATGGATTGTTTTTAATGACGATCAGACTGCAAACTGACAAACATCAGGCGACGTTGCATAGTCTAGCGCTTACAAGGAGTGGAGTTGAATCCGTCTTACGACCATTGTACAACGTAATGATTGCCAAGTTAAGTTGGGTCTAATTAAAGTATCAGTTCCTTCACAAACGAACCGCTTTTAATTGAGGTTGTAAGTCAAAGGAAGCTTCAGTCAAAACTCTAGTATACAAGTCAGAACTTTCCAACACTCAGACGTATTCACATGAGAGAGCAGCTTAGCTCAGTTGGCTAATCTTGTGGTAGCCACTGTGTGTGCGCTGAATCGTGGAGATCTCTAGGTCCCCTGTTCAATTCACATCGCTGCCTCTCCTTGTGTTTCAGCAAGAGGGCTGAAAGTGAAATATAAATTATAATAGCGCACTGTCTTTCGGATGAGACGTTTAAGCCGTTTGTCCTGTGTGCATTATGGCCCATGTGCACATTAAAGAACGCAGTACACTCTTCGGAAAAGAGTAGGGGATTGTCTCCCGGTGTACTGTCCAATCACCACCAGAAGGACCCCAATGGAAATAAGTCTTCTTCTTGACTTTCGTGGGCGATCCTTGATGTTTACGCAGAATAAATCCAATCCAATCCACATGGCAACAACAAACAGTTATTGCACCCTCAATCCATATCAAAACTAAACAGAAGCCTACTGCCACCATGGGAAAATATGTTATACTCCTATAGGCGCTATACAACATTTCGCAGAAGGTTTGATAAATAAGTTTAAGTAGTTTACTTAGGTTCACCTCATGAATTGGATATTTTCTAGGCTGAGAATGATAAATCCTAACCGGTGTTGAATTAATTGTTCCACTAGGAATATTTCCGCGGAGTAAATGGGGCTGCATATTGTGCGTGATTGATTCTGTATTCAGTGACCAGTGTAAAAATACGCTTTACGATAAAAGAAAATGGTGGTATATACAGTACATGACCAAAGTTTTACCAAAGTTTTTTTTGTGAGTCAAAAGAAGCTTCAGTCAAAACTCTAGATACAAGTCAGAATTTTTTAACACCCAGATGTACTCATATGGCAAGAAACAAATTATTACACCTTCCATCCATATGGAAACTAAACAGAATAATTTGGCCACAATGGGAAAATATGTAATCCTGTACTACTATAGGTGCTATAAACAACAATTTTCAGATAGCTTGATATATAGGTTTAAGTAGTTTACATGTTCACCTCAGATTTGACTTGGATGTTTTCTAGGCTGAAAATGATAAATCCTAAACCGGTGTTGAATTAATTGCTCAACTAGGAATATTCCAGCGGAGTAAATGAGACTGCTCATTGTGTGTGTTTGATTCTGTATTCAGTGACCAGTGTAAATATGCGCTTTGCAATAGAAGAAAATGGTGGTATATAAACGACTAAAGTCAATAATTAATGGTGATAAGGAAGAAAAAGGAACGTTCCACGTACAAAAATGAAATTAAATTTAATAGTACTGAAACAAGTAAGGAAAGAAAAGTAGTAAACCTGCTTTCTTTACCTATAGAAAATTAGAAAACATAGCCACATTAAAGATGATTCATTTGGAATTCAGAGCCAGTGGTATCTAATCTTTGAGTGACACACATATCACATGAAAGGTAGAATCATTACAGATACTAAGACATGATTTGCATCCAGTTGCAATCATTAACTCTCTGGTCACTGACACTAGCTCTGTTTGCTCATTGGTAACCTGGATTTAAAAGTGCTCTACTACTGCGAAGCTGCGTATGTTGTGGACAGAGCAAGATTAAGTGCTCACTTAAACTGCCGCAAGCCACTTACCATGTAAGCTAGAAGAAGGAAATTTAATTTGATTCAATATATCATGAAAGAAAAGAGGAAGAAATAAAGAATTGAGCTAATTACAGTATATTGATTTATTGAGATATTCTTAACCAACAACAACATTCTATCTACGTGGTGTACCGCAAGCATTAATTATATATATATATATATTGATTTTATTATTGAACATTGTGAGATTAATGTATGTATGATTAAATATATATACTTTATATTTTCTATAGCAAAACAGTTTTTTATGATATACGTGAAAGGCATTGAATGTTATTGTTACATAATTTAAATTGTGAATTCTTAATAAATCAAGAGTCTTTTAATATGTCAATTTGTGTTCGTTGTTGTTTTTGCTCATAGCATTTTATAGTAGAACTAGGGTGCTCACTTTCTGTTCGGTAGTAGTTATACTGTGCCAAATTAAAGGTCCAGGACAGAGGTCAATACAGGTCGTAGACAATGGCAAACCCATGGAGACATAATTCTTTGCTGTAGGAGTAATTTTGAAAAAAGATTTTTTTTATCCTAGAGCTAAGTTGGTTTCTCCGGCGTGTAAAACAGGCAGTTAAAGTATGTTATGTCTATTTTGAATTATCTTTCAAATTTTAAGATGTTCGTGGCTGTACAGCAGTTTGCTGGATTGGTTTTAAGTTCTTTGATATGGTTTTGTACTGTAAGTGATTTATTTAAATGTGAGCTAAATGGTTTCAGTCCTTTGGAATATTTATAAGAATAGTAAAGCCAAAATTACAGTTCACCCTTCATTTCAAAACCACCGTTGGGACCTCAAATTTGGTGGTGGTCTCGGGGATTTTTTCTCCAATAGAGGGCTATTTTTGTGTTAAAAGGTTGAACTGTGAAATAATTAACTTGTTTTATTTATTTTAATTATTTGGATGATCTTCTGTCTTCTAAATTATTGCTCCCAGGTTTGTTTTAGTCCATTATTGTTCTTACATTATTGTAGCTATTATTTTGCTGTGATTGTTAATATTTTTATTGCTGTTTAATTTGTCAATAAAAAATTCATTTTTTACAGATTAAAAAGGAGGCAGTTACTGAAGTGGACATGAGAGTGCTCCTCCCAAATCGTAAGAGTATAGTTGTGAGAATTAGAAAAAGCAGTACAACAGAAGATGTATATCAGGTGAGATCATCGCATTGTGGGCTGGCTTAATACTTTTGCATGTCTAAAAATTTATTAGATGGTGTCTATGTACAGTACAGCTGGGGTGGATTTAGAGGGGGGGGGCTAAACAGGCTTTAGCCCCTCCCCCCTCCCTAAAATTTAATAGCCATTTCTTTTTAACTGCTTTTTGAAGGTCCAAATTAAAATATTGTTTAATGTTTTCTTCACACACATCATATTTATGGGCTGAACATTTTACAGTAGTTGTTTTTCAGTGATAAAATAAAAATGAAATACGTTTTTTAACCGATCAGCGGACAAAAAACGTAGCTAAGAAAGCTGCTTTTGCCTTGCCTTCATGCTCAAATCTCGAGGCAAAGGCTATATAATACACTAAACTTTTTGTGTCACGTGGGTTTGTTCTTGTCTAGTCTTTCCTTGATTGCTTGCAGTCAGAGGTATTTGAATGTTTGTAAATAAACTACTAATAAACTAAAATTTTCGTGTCGAGCGAGTCGTTCTTATCTAGTCTTGTCTTGATTGCTTGTGGTCAGAGGCAGGTATTTAAATGTTGGTATGATACACTAAACATTTCATGCCGAGAGAGTTGTTCCAGTTTAGTTTTTTCTTGATTGCTTGTCGTCGGATACTACTACTACATTTAAAACATATTTTAAGAGGAATTCTTTTGTCGTCTGAGGTTCTCCTTAACATTGTCAAATTTTACCTGTAGGGACAGTATGTTTATTATGGAACTGTTTTCTCCCTCTTCATTGTCTTATGTTCCCCATGGCAACCCTTTCACCAGGATTTTTAAAGAATGGTGAAAAAGGGTGGATACAAACAATTGCTATTTTAGTACATAGCAAGTGACACGCTAAGTCTGTTTATCGACCTTGCATTTGCATTAATATTTTTTTGAAGCGTGGTTTCAATATTTTAAGCATGGTGTATAATTTGCCTTTTTAATATTTTTATTTAAATTATGTTGTTTCTGTGAGTATCCTACGTGAAAAGATATTTTTATCTGCCATTAAAGATCCTAGTTAATCGTTTTTCATATTATTAATTTATTTA